CATTTTATATATAAATATATGTATGTATGTGTATATATTTATAAATATATATTTATATATGTTTATGTATTTTTTTATTTGTGTGTATATATTTTATATATATATATACACATACATATATTTATGTATATATATTTATATATGTGTATCTATATAAATTATGTATGTCTATTTATATATATATATATACATATATTGTATGTACATACACACATTCTCATTCATTTTCATCATTTTTTTCTACAGTTTTATCTTTCCGTTGGTCCCAAAGTCATTTGACTGCTATAGAAAAATCCTCTACAAAACTCTGGCCCGACGTTATCTCTGCAGTGACATCAAACCTTATGAACGAGCCGATGAATGCATTATGAATGACATCTAACTCCCCGTCTGCCCCGCAGCCCAGGATTGCGTGATTTCAGTCTTGTCGAGGAGGCAGCAGAAAGAGGTCAAACGTGTATCGGGACACGGCAAGTGACGGCACTGGGGACCGCAGCGCACTTCCAGGAAAGAGACAACTTCCTCCAGGGATCGGATTTTTAAAGGCCAGGTAGTTGCACGCTGGCACTCGCAAATACACACAGTCGTAGACTAGAACTGTGGTTCTCAACCACTCTAGCTTCATCCCTTACTGACAAGCCGCGATCCAGAGGAAAAGTTTCAAATTGTCAGATTTCTTGAATGACAAGATAATGAAGGAAATGACATTATAGATGTAGGGATTATCGCCACCTACTGTTAAGGAGAGTAAATAGGCCAGACACTGCTGATTTTTACAACCAACAAAAAAAAAAACAACCTTGGACCACTTTTGGGCCGCAAGCCACCAGTTGAGTCAAAAACATTTCATAGAATTATTTTTGCAAATTACATCATTATTGATACATTTTCTACATTATTTGAAACAAAATATTTACGTCCACAAAAATATTTTTTCATGGATCTGGACACCTAATCCAGTGATGTTCGCGTTGGTCGCTCAAAACTATTTCAAAATTTTTCTGACTTTATATAATTTGTCTTAGAACTTTTTTTTAACTGGAGTACTGTTAAAAAAATGAATGAATGTGTTTTTGTTTAAAGGAAGTCTATGGAAAATAGACAAGAAAAAAAAATGTTCCTACATTTCCATTACTGACGAGATTGAATTACTGAGTCAGAATTAAATGCAAATGAACCAAGGAGTGCATTTAATGAACAAAACACAGGAGAAATCATAAAGGATCCTGTTGGTAGAGACAGAGAGACAGAGATGCTGAAATTTCCCCCACGTACACCACAGACCCTCTCACTGCTGCAGGTCAGAGTCGCATTAAAAACAATAAAAACCACTTCCTGATTAGAGTCAACGTAGAGTGACTTTGTCTCTGCACACAGCCGTGTTTTCCCTGTTTTTGATTCACAGTTTCCTCTTCTCCATACTGATTAACTGTGAGTATTGATGTCAGAAAGACAAGCGCTGAAATCACAGGAGTCAGTCGCAGAACTGAGCACCTCAGAAGAACGCGTTCAGCCGCGGCGCGTTCTTCAATAGGTTTTAATTGCGTTCTATTGCGTTGGCTTTTATAAGTAATTGTTGCTCATAAATCAGCGGTGGTTTGTCAACGTGACGGGAGGAAGTTTATTTTCACTAGTTCTGGTCAGACTCGTTGTGTAACACGACAGTGAAGTAGTTGTAGACTGACTGGTATCAAGAGTGATGAGATAAAGTCTAAAAAGTGACTGGTGAAAACAGACCTTTAATAATAATAATAATTATTATTATGATTATTATTATACAAACAGTTGCACCTTAGATTAAGTAAAAAAATGACAAAAAATTACAATGTTATCACAAGTCTATGCCGATATTCCAGCAAGATTGTTGACGTTGGAAAAATTTGAAAACGACTTTTTTTTTCTCCCCCTCAGATGCTGGAAAAACCCTTTAATTTCTTGCAGGTTTGAACTTGTCGTGGGTTGTTTTTGACACATTATAGTGACAGATATTTTTTCTCCTGTGGTGTCAGACAAATATCGTGTGATTGGTCCTAATTTTAATTGGGTGTGTTTTACTGTATTTGTGTTGATTTATTGACCAATCAGCATGCAAGTTGACTTTGTTTACAAACAGCTGGAAATTGCAAATCATTACAAGACGTTTTTTCTTTATCCCCAACTTTAAACACTTTCTGGTCCTCCCATGTTGCTATCCCATAATGCTTAGCGTGCCTGATGCTGATACTTTGCTGTTGATTTCTAATGAAATGAGAAATGCAGTTGGACATAGGAGTGGATGTAAGACAGACAGGTGGATGTGAGACACCAGACACAGCCAGAGCCAAAAAAAACCTCTTTAGCATGGCCACTAAATCCAGAAGAAAATCTCAAGGATTATTATCAAAGCCACACACACACAAAAACAAAACAGAACACACAACACACTTTCTGAAATAAATCTCCACCTCAGGTTTGCGACGGGGCGCGTTGACACCCGAGGATTGCCGTTTTAAAACCCCTGCCTTCCGTGCCAAGGTCTTATGTGGAACAGCTTGTCGTAAACTCTTTGTTGGCCTTACAGCCCAGGAACCATGAGGCTAATAACATCAGTGTTTGTTAAAATTTACTGTGTTTCTACTTGGCAGAGTCGTATCCCTCATTGATCAGAGTAAATCAACTCCCACCAAACCATAAAACATCATCGCAGAGTGATACCACTAATGATCTGCCCCAGCAGACTCCACCCGCTGTCTGCAGGCCTGCTGCTGTATCAAAGCTGTGCTGTCTGTCTGTCTCTCTCTCTCACCCCCTCCTCCCCCCCGGGCTCCCTCACACTTCATCTAATAATGAAAATTCTCCCCCCCGGGCTTCCTCACACTTCATCTAATAATGAAAATTTACTGCAGGTCTTTTCTTTTTTTTTTTTCCCCTGCTCTTGCTTGGTGAGATAAACAGGCGATTGATGAATCAAGCATAATGCACGGGCTTACGGGCACAGACAGCACGCGGCCCACAGTAAATATGTGCAGACAGGATCGGATTTCGGTATTAGCAGTGAGGAGATGCATTTATTTGCCTCTCACCCAGACTCATAACAGCACTGAGCCTCAATTACCACGTCTGAGAGGTGCAGATAATACATGCAAACAGCTCCACTCCAAACCATTACCAGCACATAAATACAGTTGGCTTTTTTTCACACACCGACACTGTCTGGACTGTACTTCATTCACCAGTGTTTGTAACACTGACGGCAGAGCGACTCGGATCTGAAGGATGTGCCAGCGTTTTTTCCGAGGGCGCGCTTGATTCTGTTTGTCCGAGCTCGCGTATCTAAACGCATACAAACTTCCAGGCAGTAACGAAAACGGTTCCTCCCCTCTTCACGTGACTGTCAAATATATTTAAACTGATGTACCAGCAGCAATTTTACTAGGTCATTATATATTTGCAGCACATATATAAACAAATATACAAACCCCTATAGTATATGTCAAAATATCTTTGTATGAATATATATGTATACATATATTTACACACATATATACAGTATATATATATGTATTTCAATATATATATAAATATATTTGTATATAATATATATATAAATATATTTGTATATGGTTATTTATATATATATACACACATACACATTTATATTCATATACAGTACACATATACAAAGATGTATACAAAAAATTATATATATTTATACATACATATTTAAATATATACATATACACAAACACATGTTTGTCCTCATCTGCTGTGTAAATTGTATTTGCAGAAATTTATTTCATTCAGTCAAAGCCATAGAAACCAATCAGAGAAGCACAGGAATTAAACGGCTTTAAATGAAGTTTGGTTCAGTATTGATCACACTGCCATCTTAGTTTGTTGGGCTGTCCCTGTCCGACCTGTCAATACTTCCTTTACGAGACATTTATAAGAGTCGAACCTTATGTTAAAGTCACTGCTGTATTTTGCTGCGTGACATAGTCAGGGTTCCTCTCCTCTCCTCCCTCCTCCGGCCCATCTTTACTCCCACAGAACAAAGCCAGAGACAGATATTTTAACACTCTTAAATCTTGCTCGGTTGAAGCTTTGACCAAAGCAGAACAACTTCTAAAAACCCAGCATATCAACTTCAAAACCACCAGAATATGTGCATTGTTTCAGCACAGTCACCGTGGCAGCAGTGGCTGAACTAAAGGACGCCCGCGGCTCTGCTCCAGATGGCAGTGAAGCTACTCCTGGCCGGGGCACTTTAGCAGCCCTCCTGCTGTTTCTGATGCCCCCCCTCCTCCCCCCCGTCCCCCTGAAAAACAGAGGAAGCCAGGCTTCCACTGAGCTTGGCCAGAAATACTCCACCTTTACTGCGAGGGTTTCCAAAAGAGAGGAGTTTTATTTATAAGTTAATGTGCAAACACGCACAAGTACCCACAATGCAACGCAGACATATATCTGCTGCAGCGTCCAACGTTAGGGATCGTAAAAAAGTGGACATTAGAGACCGGGGGGGGTGAGAAAACTCTTCCCAAACACTTCCTAAAATTTTATTCTTTAGGTGAACACAGTCCCTGGCTGTTGAACACAGATTAAGAGCCTTTCTAAGGCAGCAGCTTAGCCGCAGTGCAGTGCTCACAGCCTGGGTACGCTGCCACCCCCCCACCCACTCCCACCCACTCCTCCTCATCGCCCACTGGATGTCAGCCCTGAATTGTGTTTTGATGTTTCGTCAGAAGCACAATTGAGCTCCATTCTCAAAAGCCAAAACAGACATTTGTCGATTCATATGCATCAGGGCACTTTTTTTTTTTACCCCCTCCCTTTGCCTCAGCCTCCACTCTCTCTCCCTCTCCCCTTCCCTCTCTCCCTCTCTCTTGGCTGCGACTTCCCTGCACTCACTCAGTAGCATCAATCCAGCAGGAGGATACGAGCGGCCGCGAGCCTCCCCGCTGGACAGAGTGTCACATGTGATTACCATTATTTATAAAGCTCACTCAGGCTCACTTGTGCAGTCGGCCTCTCCCAGCCCTCGGCCCTGCACACTACAGTCAATATTTGCACGCAATCCTGAACTGTTGAGTGTTTCCACGGTGGTGAGAGCCTCCATTACATGAAATATTCAGGCTGCGCCGAGACTCCCGTGAGGGCCAGCGCAGGGTTTTTACTTCGATTTGATTATACCACATGATTTTTTCATGAGCTATGACAGTCCTGTTGAATTAGAGTCAGGTAGGAATCTTTGTGATAGTCACGGAAGCCAGAGAGAGAGAGGAGGAGGAGGAGGAGACAGAGAAGGAGAAGGAGGAGCAGTCTTGTCGTATGACATCTCTCTCTGTCTGAATAAGTGAAGAACTAATAGTCACCGTGAAAACAAAAAAGGATTTGGCGGGTAACCTGAAAGAACGCGAACTTTACATCATCTTTTATACGTCGCTGGTTCTGTGGGCGAAAATAGAGATTTGTTACTGAGAAGCATTCCGATTTTTTTAAGACTGATACATTGTTATTATTGATTGCAATAGTTGTATCTTAAGGTGGAGCATGCTGTAATTTTAAGGTAGCTGCTCCCTACTGCCCCTCTAGGGGCTGCTATAACATCTGTTTGAATGGCATATTCCACAAGTAAAGTGTGTACAAAATTGTTACAAATCTAATCCTGTGCATTTGTCAAAACTTTAAAAAAAATCAATAGTTCGTCTTTTAAGGCTAGCAGGCCACCAGTGGATTTGAACATCTGAGCCCGGAGTGATCGCAGAGAGGAGGAGGCCGGGTTTAAACTGCCCTGGTCACAGTCCTGCAGAAGCCTGATAATCTAATAAGTTAATGAGGCTGTAATTACTGACAGGAAACAGCAGGAGGACCAGGAACTTTTTGTTCTTTTTTTTTTTTTTTTTAAATAGTAGTTAGGCATTTTAAAACTAGACAGCTACGTTGTTGCAAATTACTATTATAAATAATCGTAACGTTAAAAGGTATATACTCAATATACCCAAAACGTACTCATATATGCGTATATATGTACGTATATGTGTATATATATATATATATATATTTGTATATATGTAATTATATATACATAGACATACTAATACACACATATACATATATTTCCAAACATATATGTGTATATATATTTTAATATATGTGTATATATCTAAATATATGTACAAAGACATACTTATACACACACACATATGTGCACATATTTAAATATATTTGCATATATGTAAATAGACATAGTAAAACACACATCTATATATACATATATATGCAAACATATGTACACATGTACATAAACGGACACATATATTTAAGTTCAGTGATCTGTAATGATGTAACAATTCTAGGGAATGGACCAATCATATACAGTATATATGCACATATATATATATATATATGGCAGGAAGAGCATCGGTCAGAGTGGGCTCCACTGAAATGGTCAGCATCTTATATTAGGAAAAGTGAATGAGAAGAGCAGGGGAGAAACAGGGAGAGATAGAGGGGAAAGCAGTAATGCATTATGGGCTATTTGATGATAACAGTGCTGCTACAGACAGTTATGGTATAATAGGCGCTAAATGAACATTAGGGGATTCTAATGGTGGAATCAGTCATGCTAGCACACAGAAACACAGGCGGCGTCAAAGGAAGTTGGTGAATATTGTGTTGTTGCTTTGTGATGATTTTATGCCCGGTTAAAAAAAAATAGAATTTATCTGCTGTGTTTGTCACCAATTAGTTCCAAATTCATGTTTGTTTTAAAACTACTGTAGTACAAACATCTGTTAGGCCGTCAGTCAAACCAGGTTAATGTGTAGGAAACTGTATTTACATATATATAAATATACATTTATTACCACTGCTACTTTATTACTCACTTCAAACGGAATATAGTATATAATTATGATCAGTGGGTTTGAATTTATTCAGTTCAAGGATTTTGAAACTACAGCAGTGAACTTTAAATAGGGATGAAAAAAGAGGTCATAAATTTTTTTTTCTTTATATTAATATTTTTAAACTAAGAAAACTGTATATATAATACAATTGTGACTGAGACACAACCACAAAGAATTAGCAGAGGATGGTTTCGATCCATCGACCTCTGGGTTATGGGCCCAGCACGCTTCCGCTGCGCCACTCTGCTGCTTGAAAACACAATCACAAAATACATATATATATATGCAATATATTCATATATTTATATATTTTGTATGTATGTATATTTATATATACATATATACAAAATATATGGATATATTGCATATATGTATATGTATGTAGCTCACATCTCTTCTGTTCTTTGTATTTTGTGTTATTTTTTAATTGTGCAGCAGAGTGGCGCAGCGGAAGCGTGCTGGGCCCATAACCCAGAGGTCGATGGATCGAAACCATCCTCTGCTAATTCTTTGTGGATTTTATCATTTTAATAGTTATTTAATAGTTATCTTAATATAATATAATTGAATTTACAGTATTTTAATGTTTTTGATGTAGTACAGTACTGTACCTTCTTACCATTTTTCTTTGATAATGTTTTTGTGCTAAGAATCTAACGTCTCTGTACGACAACACTGTTGACCTTCCACAATTATATTTCACTCTGTTTCATCCTCCTTTATAAAAGCTAATTTTTTTTCTTTTTTTTTTTCTTCCCTAACTCCATTATCTCCACTCCAGACGTGTCTTTGCAAATCCACACTCCAGGGCAGATCACAGTGAAGTGAGTGAGTACTTCGTTCATATCCTGTGTTTGTAGTAAAATGACTTCTCTGCAGAATCTAACGCCACAGTCCAAACAGTCACGTGTTGCCAACAGTGTGAAAGTAGGCCAGAGTACCGGAGTGTGTGTGAACGCACCGCCACTCGCTCACTCACTCGCTCACTCCGTCACTCGGCCGCCATCAGAGGAAGAAGAGAACTGGAGAACATCTGTGCTGTGAGAGAGGGACAGTGACTGGTTCTGGGTTCTACAAGAACAGACAGACGGACAGACCTCCCAGAGGACTCTGTTCCTGATGAAGCAGTGACAGCTACCGTAAGTACCCAAGAAAGGGGCATTTTAAATCACAGATTCAATTCAAAACATGCAACAGAAAATAAAATAAACTGTTACTGATACATTACATAAAAACATAACCTTTTTTTGCGAAACACATTATTGTGGATAAGACTACATCTGCTGCTCTGACCCCCCTCCATCCCTCCACCACCACCATCCAAAAAAACATTCTCCAAAGCTAATGCTTCAAAATCCTACTAAACTTTAAAAACATAAAAAAAAAATCAAAAACACAAATGTACTCAAAACTGTTACTTATTTAACAAAAGAAGTAATTTTACTCATCTGTAGCAGTTTCCCCACAGAGGGACAAAATAAAAAAAAAGGTAGTGCTGTGCTCCATTAGGGCCCTGCCCCCTACTTTGAGAACCCCTGCTCTATCCTATGACTAATTACAGTAAACGTTACTTAAAACATTATGGACATTTTTAGACAAACCCACGACTAATGAAGTCATAGTTTGTGATGCTCAGTGAAAAGAATAAAAAAAAAATTAATAAAAAATATTTTTTTTTTGTTTTTTTCTGCTCCCTGTGCTGCTGGTGCTGTGGTCCAGGACAGTCAAGGTCATTCTCCACACCTGCCTCTGGTCCACTGCACCAGATGATTGTCAGATGAGTCCAACATTGTCAGTGTGGCCTTTTAGATTCACATGCATGGACACACACACGCGCAGGGACACACACACACACACCCAGAGAGGGGGTGAGTCAGAGAGAGCGAGAGAGAGAGAGAGCGAGGCTCCTGGCTCTGAACACAGAACCCTGGTAATCCTGGCTTTGGACTTGTTTATTCCTGCTCCAGCGCTGAGTGATCAGATTAGCAGAGACTCCTGAGAGCAGGAAGACTGCGAGGTGTTCGCGTGTGTGTTCGCGTGTGTGTGTGTTGTGCAGCGTGGGTTGAACAGGACGAAACTCAAAATAGAAATAGAGTGTTTGTTTGTTCATGACATCATTTGCAGCGTTTTGTTTTTTTTTTACTCCAAGATCACGGGGTCGTGTTTACACACAGCCCTAAATTGACTTAAATGTGAGTTTTAATTCAATATTTGTTGATATTTAGGAAAAACTGCCTGGGACTAAAGAGTCGTCATGATTTTATTTTCTACGTTGAAAAATGAAGACAGGAAAACTGGATTTACATTTTTTAAACTGTTAAAATGTTGGATTTTGTTGCTTACAATTATTTTTTTATTCACTGTACACATCACAGTTTTAATCTACTGCACTGCAGACCTTGACGTTTTATGCCTCTGGGGCGGGGGCCACATCTGGGCCAAAGGATGACCCTGTCCAGGACCATTAAAAACAAAATATTCAAGAACAACTAAAACCTGAATAATTGTCTAAATAATATATATTTTAAATAAAAAAAATGTAATTGAAAAATACTTTTTTGGTCTAACAAGACCAGCTAATGCTAAAAATGATAATGTTAATATAGTGTACATAAATTAATGGTAAAGCTTGGCACAAAGACAAATATAAAAACGAAAAAAGCAAAATAAATTCTGAATGCATTAAAAAAACATTATGTTTTTATGTTTCAATTCAATCCATATATTAAAAATAAATTCAAAAACCAACAACAAAAATAAAATATATTTTCTTATACTTCTGCAAGAACAACAACACATTGACCTGCTCTTAAAAAAAGACAAAACGTAATATATTATAAAAAAAGAATTATGGAAAAAAGATTAGTCTTAAATGACATTTAAAAATATACAACGTTTCTAAAGTGGTACAAAAAGAAAAAACTACCATAACAGGATTTCTGGATCAGTTCAGTGGATGGAGATTAGATTATAATCTGTAAACAACAAACACACACACGAACCAAAAGTACCGTAAATACCCTATAAAACTGGGATATAAAATTTTCTCAACATTTACAGAGGACAGTTACAGGAATTAAACTCCATCTGATGTCGCTCCTTTTACACTGAGCCACAGTCAAACACTGTTGTTTTCATCAACAGACCAGTGAAATCATAACAGCTTCATAACTGCAGCCAGAGGCGGTGAAAGAAACGACCAACACAGACTCTGCTTATCTATTACCCTGCTAATTATAGGAGAATTGCCCCGCGGCTCAGCAACTGTCCTTGGAACCGTTAGTCTGTGATCCTTCCCCAAAAAACTTGAGAGCGCTTCACAAGGTTAGAGAGTGAACGGAACAGACTTTTGTGACCGATTTTTCAAATGATCACACCGTATTATCGTCAAACAAAAACACATCACATTTCTATTGAAATCCACAAAGAAGCTTTGATTGGGAATGTCATTTTTAGTTGCGGGTGTTTTCGCAGCTGTTTCGAGGGCCGACAGCTGCCGACAGTGAAGAGGTCTTAGACGTAGCAGTAGCTTTCTGAGGAGCTCTCTGCACTCGTATCCGTACGCTCTCCACTCGTCTCCGAGAAGCTGTAATTACCACGTCAGCTGCTGTAGTGCTAACACCAAGAAAATAGCTGCGTCTAATTATTCACTCAGTTGTTCAGTCGGGGGAAAGAATGGCCGTTATTATTATTGTGGAACAGAAACTGAGAAAAGGCGAAAAAAACTGCCGAGGGGATAAATGTGAACTGTTGATCCTCAAATCTAGGCATTTCTTCATCTTGTGAAAACATCTTTGTACCTCGGTATTTCAACAAAGACGCAGAGATTTTGGAGGGAAAAACTCCAGGACTCTTTTGAGACTTCTGTCAACACACAAACTCATGAAAGTAACTTTAAAAAAATATATAAAAAATAAACAATGAGCCTAGTTGTACATACACACACTTGTACTGTATATGTATATATATATATATATGTATTTTTTTTAATTATATTTTTTACTTTTGTGATCCAGTCTCACAGTCAGGGAGGGATTTGAACCTGCAAACAACCTGGTAACAAGGCCTATCCATGTACTGTTCCACTGGGCCACAGTCTGCGCATTCATTAAATCCTGATTAAAAAAATAATAAACAAAACTAAAGTCTCTGATCAGGTTACTTTCAAACACACTGACTACTAAAAAAATATTTATAAAATGAACAACTCTAAGTCAATATTTTTAAAAATTCTACTGAAGCCACAGAGCATGATGGGAATTTTTAGGATTTTTTTTAAAATTTATTTATTTTATTTTTTGCCTTGTTTTTCCTGTTTTATTGTGACACTCCTGTGCTGTCGCACTGTTGTGACATCACTTCCTGTTCGTCTCTTTGCCCCGCCCCTCTGATCTGTCACACCTGTGTCTCATTATCTCAGCAGTGACTGACGGTTGTTCCGTTCAACTCTGCTCTGTCTCAACAAACACTTGTTTTTGTTTTTAATAGTTTATTATTTCTGAGGAAACTTTAAAAAAAAAAAGAAAGAAAGAAAAGTTGGACAGAAGGCTGTGTTAAAGCTGAGGTAGGAAACTTCAAGTACATATCACTACTGTGTGCAGCAAATACTGCAAGTATTTGTTGTAAGTGTTTTAAAGCAATACAAATGAAGTTAAATAAAATAAATAAAAAACAGTGTTTGTTTATGGACACATTTTTTTGTTTCCTTTTCCCATAAACTAAATGTTTTAGCAAAAAGAAATACACTTCTTTGACAGCCTCAGAAAAAAATAAAATAAAATTCACCTTCAGGAGGAATTTGTTCCGTAGATTTAAATGTGATGCATAAATGATTTAAATTTAAAAGTTTTCTAGTATCACTGGAGGAAAATTTAAACTAATTTTTCCTTATTTTTAAACATTGTATTTAAACTGTTGACACAAACTGACATCAGTTTTCAAGGTTTTGATTTCATTTAAATGTTATTAAAAATCCTCAAAGGTTTTTTAAAATTCTGTTACTGATATATCTGTGCTGTGTGAATTCCCTCTGAACCTGTTTTTATTTTCTTTAATAATTTCTTCTGTTTGTTTCTGCAGAAACTGTTTACGTCCTGGCTTCAGTACAAGGTAAGACCCCCCCCCACACTGTACTACTGTACCTGAAGTATTTGTCTCCATCCACGCTGTCTCTGAGTGAAAACCTAAAGTATCTGTACTACAGTACTTCCCTTTGAAGACTGAACTTTTCCCTCAGCCGCCGTGAAACGCTCTCTGCCAACAGTCCAACCCAAAGGTCACTCAGACGTTCCCCGCTGAGAGGTGTGTTTAATTGGCTTAAAAGATTTAATGTTGTCTGATGTCAGGCTTTCTTCGCGCTGAAGTTTGACTCACAAGTACTTTGTTTTCCTCCCACACGATGCATTAGACTAATGAGACGACTGTGAGTGCGGCTATTTCTGCCCGGCTCTCGGAATAATCCGGATCTAACCTACAATTTCACTGCGTCCGTATTTGCAGCGTAACAGACGGGAGTTGTTTTAATAAGTTGTTTTTATCTGAGACGAGACGAAACCAGGGATTCAACGGACGTTGTTGTCATGAAGTCCAATTATAGCAGCACAGCAGTAGTGGGGCGGGGCCCCCTGCGGGTGTACTGAGGTGCCGCATCCAGTCACTAGGTGGCAGCAACTCATACAGTGGTTTGTACAGTGCAAAAAATATACTATGTTGTCAGGTTCTCAATAGGATGTCAAATCGCAGGGGTGTGGGTCACGATGAGGGTCGAGGCCTGTTTTTGGTTCATGGTCGAGGTTAGGGACCGCGTGATGTCAAGATGAAGTGCTCACTAAACCTATAAGACTGTGTGTGTGTGTCTCCTTTGACAAAGGTGATGAAAGACAGGCTGTACGGAGGTGTACCTGATGGGGGAGGAGAGGGGGAGGAGAGGGGGAGGAGTGGCGGGTTCTTACCTCTTTTAGCCGTTTGATGGATGGCTCACTTTATACAGCATTAATCTATCAATTTGTCAATTACAAATGGAAAAATTTTGGAGCCGAGGGCGAGTTGGCTTCAGGACCTGTCGAGTCCCTGAACGCCACGTTTGATCAGTGTTGACTGTAATTACACAGGGCTGTCAGCAGGGTGAAAACAAAATGTACTCCCAATTACTGTGTCCAAATAATTAAAATGAAACTTATTGGAATAAACTTAACTGTAGGATTCGTGCAAAGATAATCAACTGGCGGCTCACGGACCAAATCTGGCCCGCCAAACAATCTAATTTGGGCCCGCGACTGAATGTCAAAGTACACATCCAATAATAATGTTTGACACAAAAATGTGATCTTTATTTCATTTTCTTTGAAACAAAAATACAGTTGGTGACCTCTGACCTTCAGCAAAAAAAAAACAACAATATTTTGTTCTACACAAAAGTTTGAATAAATGTAGAAAATCACGTATGAACTGTATAGTAATATGCAAATGACAGTGCAGTAATCCAGTCGAGGATTGTTTTTTTTTTTATTGTCAGCTCCCCAAGTATCACACGTCTGAAGGCGGCGTAAGCGATAAAAGAACAGTTTCCTTTAACAGCAGTTTGATAAACGCCAGTCAACTGGTTGTTTAATCACAGCCACTTACGCTCAAGGGATTTTTCTCTTTTCATCCTGTTATTAACGAACACTCGAAGCTAGAAGAAGAAGAAGAAGAAGAACCTCGAAGCTAGAAGAAGAAGAAGAAGAAGAAGAAGAAGAAGAGGAGGAAGAAGAGGGGGAGAAAAAAAGAAAAAGCTCGTTGGTGATCTATCTGCTGCAGATCCACCTCCGCCTGTGGAGGCAGTGTCCTGCTTTCTTCGTCTCTGAGCGATGGGCAGCCGTCTCTTTAACTGCTGCAGTAACAGACGCGGCGTCTCCCAGGCCTGATGAGCTGCTCCTTCTATTTGCTCTGCTCATTCTCCTGAGCACCGCGGCCGTCCAGATTAGAGCCCACGGCCCATTAGGCAGCCAGGGAGGTGGACAGCGGCGGAAGTGTAGCACAAGTACGTGCAGTGTCTGTGTGTGAACACACACACACACACACACATCATTCTGGGGAAATAGAATGTTCTGCCGGGGAGTTTGTTCTGTTGTACTTTCATTCTATTTTCGGGAGGGAAATGTTCTTGCAAAGGTAGAACACAGAACCCAAATGCACTCTTTGACAACAAAAATAAAAATAAATAAAAAACAAAGAAAGGCAGACGTAAGCTGGAGATTAATATTTTCTACAAACCAGGAACATGTACTAAAATAACTACACAGTACCTGTCCGTGGTACGCGTCGTACAGTAACATGAATACCTGGAATAAACATCGTGTTCAGTCATGGTCGCTGAGAACAGAACGGAACTGAACGAAACTGAACGACAAAAGCAGACGTTCTCGTCGGCTCAGTATTTGTCAGAGTAAAATATTCACTACTACTAGGTAAATGTAGAGGGAAACAAGTTATAGAGGAAAGTACTACTATATATACAAGTATATAAATAAGCAATACTATATAGTGGAACCAAACATTTGTACTGCATATTTTGAATAAATCCCTAGTATTTGATCATTTTAATCTTTGATTTATACTGATTCATAAATCATCGCTTCAACCAATGCCAACAAGTTTTCTCTCTATATTTCTGGAACAAAAAGATTATTAATGAATTTAGCAGACGCTTTCATCCAACGCGACTCACAAGAGGAGGATTAACGATCAGTCTGTGGAGGTTCTCAGTCACATCAAGGGCAACCGGACGGAGGAGGTTTCTCGAAGGCGTTTCATCTCTTATCCAAGAAGCTTCTTCAGTTCAATCAACAATCAGGTTCCACACAGAGGAACTCTTGAAAAGGAGACCAGTAGTTAGGAAACAAGTGCAGGAGGAGATGGAGGAGGATAAAGGAGGATAAAGGAGGCGCTCGTTTTCGAGCTGAGTCTTTAAGAGTTCCTTGAAGACAGACAGGGACGCCACTGATCTGGTGGTTCTTGGTAGGTCATTCCACCATGAAAAAAGCCTGGATTGACTGCCTGGCGACATTTCGACATTCAATCAACGGCAGGTAGATGTTTTTATAGGTCACTGATCCAAATCATGGAATCAGTAAGAATATATGGAAGGATATACCTCGAGGTAATGTATCGTGGTCGAGTCGGTGGATTTCACTCATTACTTATTGCTTGTAGTGTTGCTTTTAAAACTGCTTTCAAAACTGTTTTCCCAACAGTGTGTGTAAATGACAGGTGGGTTGATTGTCTGTAAGAGTGAGGTGAGGTGCCAATCTGCCTATGCATTAAAATTATGTCAAGTCGTTGAACCCTACATTTCACGTCTCCAATGTCTGGAACTGTTTTGTTCCGTTTCAGATGTTCCTTTGTTCCTTTGCAGCAAAAGCATTATTGAAAAAGTTCTCTGGGAAAGTACCTCGTGTTGTGCTTCACCTGCAGAACCACTGAATGTACTACAAATACACACTACTGCATATTGATATAAGCTCTTAAATCAGCAATTTTTCTCCCACACTCAGTGGAGTGCACCATAGGAAGGCAAGGGGGCAATGAGGGGGAGGAGGAGGGGGGGAGTCAGCGAATCAGACACATTTGGCTGTTGTTCTACCGCAGAACGTCCTGAAGCTACAGACGGGGACATCAGGGAGCGAAGACGCGTCATCCTCCCTGAACCAGCAGAGGGCCCTGCATTCATCCCTCTTCTTATCTACGCTCTATTGTTCTTGTTGATGACTTTGTGCGGCTCGACTTCAAACCCAGAACCCGCTGTTCTGGCCACAGAGGAGGAACTTCTTGTCTTGTAAAAGCACAGTTCACTGCATCCCAGTCCAGCACTCGCCGTGTTTTCTCTGTTCCACCTTCAACGCTGCGTCGCGTGAATCCAGGGCTGCCCACGTGTAGGTTAATGCTCTGCTCTGTTCTTTATCCCCAAAGGCTGTGTTTTTAGAGGCCGTGCAAATATGCAGTGTCATCCCTGCCCCGAGCCTCACAGTGTTCCCCCAGGGCCAATGCAGTGATCAGGGATAGGAAAAAACAGGTTTGTTTCTGCTGCTGCTGCTGCGGCTGGCGCCGCCGCTGCTGTCGCTGCTGGCGTCGCTTGTCTGCTGCTGTTGCTGCTGCTGTTACTGCTGCTGTTGTTGCTGTTGCTGTTTTTGTACAGATCCTCCCAGCAGAAGTTTATTGTGGGTAAATCCTAATGCGACCTTCACCCTGGGAAACATTGGTTGCGTCGTTGAGATTAAATCATTGCTGAGCGAATGTCTCTGAACTCGGTTATTTACACATCTAATCAGGACAGTGTTGTACAAACCGCGCTTGATTAACAGCTGAAATTCTTCGTGCCGACTCGGAACGGTAGCATTTAATTCTCCTCCGACGGCACTGCTTCAAAGACACTTTAATTGGTACAGTTTTCCTTCAGCTCTGAGACTTAATTGAGTTTTTTTTTTTACCCCGAAACTCAACTTTATTCAGCTGTTTTGTTTCTGTTGGTTTATTCTCGTGTCCTGTATCGGCAACTTTCCTGTTGACATGATGACATCACAGAACAAGTCGTTACGTCTGTACTTTCACTTTTAGTTTTGACAAAGTAGATTTTAAAGAAGTTGTTGGAGCTCAACATCAGAATTTTTTTGTTGTTGTTGTTGTTCTTCTTCACTTTGAGTTTTGACAAAGTAGATTTAAACAGTACTAAATGGTTCTCAACCCGTAGGTCACGGGTGGAAAGGGAAACCTGAGGCAACGTGTTGGTCGTGTTAAAGATTTGTTTATACTTTTACATACTTTTCTTGAATCTTTTAGAGAACAGTCATCTTTCAGAATTTTTCTCTCAATTATTAATGATTAATCATAGTCATTTTACTCTCACAATTAATCATGATTAATTGATTTTGCTGTCAGGATTAATCTTGATTTTACTACTATCACGATTATTACACTGTTAACGATGAAACCAGTACTGTCACGATAATCACTACTACGATTAATCGTGATTAATCGGCAGCCATTCTGTGGTTATTGACAGCCCTTTTGTAATATAGTTGATCAGCTCATTAGGAAAGCTGTACATATGTGTTAATCGTTATGTCAATGGGACACACATGTCCACACCAGCGGGGACGTGACGTCCCGGTCCGAAGTCATAACCACGGCACACGCTGGATTACTGCGATGATGTTGATCGGACTTGGTGTGACTTTTCTTTTTTCTAAATAAGATTAGATTCAGTCGGGGTGTGTGTGCTACTGTGATTGGAGCTGGCGTTTCATTGTGAACAGGACATTAGTGAACCCATTAGAGTTATAAAGTCTCATTGGCTCTGTCAGTTGTGCTGATGTGGTCCCGTTCCAGCTCTTTGCCTGTGATGAGTACAGATGGACGGAGCTTGCTCTCTCTGGACAGAGGGGGAGTCGTAGCTCACAGTTAGGCCTCCTATACACTACAGTCACACATCATTGACTGCCATTACAGCAAAGGAAACCAAATCATTGTTGGGGGGCGGGGGGGGG